TTTACTCCCACTCCTCTTACACAGAATCTCCTTACTCTTTCGCGAACCTCTCTCGCTCACCAACTTCTTCACTCTCTCTTTTCCTGCGGTCTCCTCTGTGAACATCCTTCACTCCTCCTCGATTTCACCTACCATCCACACCCGCATGTTTCCTACATCTTAGTTTTCTGCTCTATATACCAAATAAAACTTAGATTTCTCAATCTAGAATCACAAATTCAAAGCCACACTATATCTATACAAGAACTTAAAATTTATCGTACCTCTCATCTCCATCTTTTTTCCTCCCGTGGCTCGCACCGTCACGATCCTCTTTCCTTCTCTCTCTCTTCTCGTTTCTCTCCAATCCGGCTCCTCTCTCTCTCATTTCTCTCCAATCTGGCTCCTCTCTCTCTCTCTCTCTCGAACCTTCTCTTCCTCCCCCCTGATATCTCTCTTCTCTATTTTCTTTCTTTTCTTTCCTCTTCCTTTTTTTTTTCTCTCTTCTCCTATTTATACCCCACCCGCCTCTCATCCTACCCGTCCATCTCACCTCATCCCAACCGTCCACTCCCCATTCTCCAAACGGCACCGTTTCACCTATGAAATCCTCAATATATATATACATATATACATACATACCAATTTTCTCTTTTTTTTTTTTTTATCTATTTACTACATTTATATCTTTAATTTTACAACAGTGAATTTATATATAAAAAATCACTAGTAAATATATGAATTAAAAAATATTTAATTGCAAATACCTTTTTTTTTCTCAAAATTTTCTTATTTTTTGTTGTATTTTTATTTTTATTTGATTCAAAATTCTGTATATGTACATATTTATATATGCTGGATTATTATTTTTTAGATTAAGTGGAATCAATATTTAAATATTTATAGTTAAATATTTAGTGTAATATTAAATTATTTTATTTATGAAAATTAAAATTAATAAATTAACAAACCTAATTATTTCAGTTAATTAAATAGATTATTATCAGAGGGTAACGTAAAAAAGAAATGGAATCTGGTGTTGCCACGTGTCATCCATTTGGATGCAGATGCGGGTTCTCTGGTGGTGGGCACCAACAATGGCAACCTTCCATGAAACTTCCCTAGTTCTTTCCGTTTCCCTTCCTCGTCATTTCTCACTTTCATTTCTCTCTACTCATTTTCTCTTACCTGATTTCTCTGCTGACCTAGTCTAATTTCGTAGAGAAAACTGGAGCTTAATTATTGATGAAGATGGGTTTTGGAAATCACCAATGGCGTGGACCCAGTCTTGTCTGCCCACTAACTCCGATAGGTGAAACTAAAATCTTTGTTTCTTCTCTTTCTTCTTTTATCAGATCCAGAATCTACCTACGGACCTTTTCTTTCTAACTCTGATTCTTATTATTATGTTGTTTCTTCTTCATTTCAGGTAGGATTTTGTAGGTAGGAGATTAGATTTACAGTTCTCGCAGGCATCCCTGTTTTGAGGTTTTGCGTACATATATAAATAGAAATGGCTGGTATGTTACCTGGTGTTGAATGTGCACGAAGGAGACGGTTCCATCAGAGCGTGGCATGTTCTGATTCGTCTCCTTCCCTGGCGGCTCATGGTTGGACGAGAAGGCCTTCCTTTTGTCTCTACAGCAGTAATCGCGAAACTCATCACAGCTCTGTTTCTTCCTTGGTACTTTGTTAATTTTCTTCTCTCTATCTCCGTCTTGCTCCGCTCCCGATTTTGATTCTACTTGCTTCAGAAATCGATTGATGGAATATGATTGATTGTGTAAAACAGCCGAGGCTCAAATCAAACCAGGCGTATTCTCAGGACGAGAAGCTGGGAGAAATAGCCAGAGAAGCCAAAGAAAGATTGGACGAAAGGCTGAGGACACAGAGAAAATTAGACCCTAAAAGGTTCGATTTCAGAATTAAAAACACACGTAAAACTGAAACTACCTTCTCTTCTCCTTTCCAGGTCGGCGCATATTAGCATAACCACCAACTCCTTGCTAACATGTTCTACTTTAGACCAAATTATGTGGACCCTGGAAAAAAAAAAAAGGCTCCTGAAATTACATGTTCATCGGTCTGTTTCGTTTAATTTTCCAAAATCTTTTGTGAACTCTTTTCCAGGAAGAAGAACATCGATGAGAAGTTAAAAGTTGCGGACGGGAGATCCACGGCGGCGGTGAGGGAGTTGCAGACCGAGGTGTTTGGATTAAAGAAGACTGGTACGAAAAGGTCTACTTGGCCTAAACTGATAAGCTGGAAGGCGAAAGAGCAGGAGGAGTGCGCCATTTGTTTAGAAAAGTTCAAAGGTGGTGAGACTTTGGTGAACCTGTCATGCGCCCACAGGTTCCATTCGCGATGTTTGATGCCATGGGTGGAGAATCATGCTCATTGCCCGTTTTGCAGAACGGAGATCCTGTCTTGACTCTCTGGCTTTCTCTCTGTTTCTTCCTGTACCGACAAACAAATACTCGGTGAGTCATGGGGGTTGGGGTGATCGGAAATGGTTCTTTTCTTAATTCTCTGTGAATGATTTTGCATGCGATGTGGAAATTTGATGCGTAAAAAGTGTTGTATTATTTTAATTTGTCTAACGTGCTGGGTGTAGATTCTTTGTTCAAATATATACATACATACATATATAATTTCAATTTGAGATTTGGAAGACACAGGAAAATCATGAGATTCTTGATTCTATAATTGGAGGAAACTAGAATAATCAGATCGTATGCATATATATATATATATGAACTTTGACAACTGGGTTTCATTTTTTTATTGAGTTGAGAAACAACAAATTTCTTGGCATAATATATAAGAAATTATACTGTTCTTTACAAATATAAAGCTTCCTCCATTACTTTATACAACCAACCTTTAAGACCCAATAGTGTATATATATATACACACACACACACACATATACGATAACATATAATCTTTTAACGACGATTACACGCCGAACGTACTAGATGCAAAACACAAAAGTCAAAGATTCAAATCAAAGAAAGCCAAAATACCCACAATCGATTATTTAGTTCTTCCAAGAATGTGTATATAAACATGTATATACAAATATGTACATAAGCATGCAAACTGCCCGTGGGAGAAAAGGCATGAAATTGTCACGATCAATGGGTAGGTTTTTTAAAGGTCACCGATTGAACGGCAAAGAAAACAACACGAACACCAATTATTAAGGGAACGGTGTCGTTTATTGGGGAAGGTTGAAGGGGAACTCCATTGTTCTTCTCACCACCACTCGTTATTCTAAGGAGTGGGCCATGTTCACTTTCAAATTCAATACATCTATTTTTAAGAGTGTTAGAGACATTGTCATGACAAATATATATTTAAATAAAATTGAAAAATAATGTAATAACCGATTTTAATTTTAATTTTTTGAATAATATACGAATCTTTTATTAGATTTTTTTTCGACACGTGGAATTAATGTAGGTTTCGGTACGCGTATCAGATTATCAGTTTAATGAACCCGTTTAAAAATAATTAAATGCGGTTAATGAGTACTGGGTCTTAATGCGTCGTACTTAAGTTTGAGTTTGCAACGTGCAGATGTCATTTTTATAACATTTTTCGTTTTACGATGAGCGAAATGAGAATTGAGAAAAGTTGTTGATATAAAAGGTGATTATGGTTCTCGAATTGCAAGATTGTCACTTTATTTTTCTGAAATTCTGTAAGTAAAAAAAAGTAGTTTTTGAGGCATCGTGTTGATTCGGAAGATTCTGCTGTCGGACGCGAACGATTCTTCTGTGACGGATCTGAGTACGCTTTACGTTTTTCATTAATTCGATAGGAGATTTTGTGTTTAAATTTATAGATTTAAAAAATATTTGTATTCTAACATTATATATATATGTATCTATTTAAATATGTAATTTACATAATAAATCAATTGTTACATACATTTTTGAATAATGCTATAGTGATTGACTATCTTTATTTTAATTTTAGATATCTTGGTAGACCCAAATGCATCCCTCTCAAGTTAGTTTGGTCAATTTTTTTATTGAATTTAGGTGAAATTTGGGTTTGGAAGCAAAAGGTTCTTTCTAATTTGACTCAATTATATATATATATATGTATATATGATATATTTTTTTAATTTTAGTTAAAAATATGTAATATATTTTTTAATTTCGTATATGTATATACATTTAGTCATTACATTTTTTAAAGCCAAAATATAATCTACCTCTACGTAAAAAGGTAGAACCAAGCTAAAACCTAGACCTCGGCAGAAAACGACATCGTATGGCACCGCTTCTGTCCTCAACTCATTTCCCAACGGCTAGTTTAGACTTTTCAAGTGACCGTTTGAAGCATTCAAAAGCCCAAATTCTCCTCGTTTCTGTCTCCTCACATAAAACACACTAACAACACTCGCCACCATCCATCAGTTCCCAGAAAATCAAACCCACCGAAACAAAATTTAAAAGAAAGAAAGAAAGGGAAAAGCACAGTTCTGGCAACCCAAACAATCTGCATTCTGATTTCAGTCCGATCTCGAGATCGTACAGGCAAGCCAAGAGGTAAAAAATGGTTCACTCCTACACACCCACGTACTACTCCACCCTCCACGACTCAATCACGTCGCTCTGCAAAACAATTCTTCCTTTTTCGTTGAAGAAGCGGCGCTTGCCGGCGGCCGAGCACAGGCTGGCGAAGATGCAGTCCGATAATCTGAAATGGCAGCAGGATTCCTTCCACCAGATCTTGAATTTAATGGGTCTCCACAAGGAAGGCATTTTGGCTGAGGCAGAGGTTGCTGCTTTTCGATCTCATTTGCTCGAGAAGCTTATTGCTTCTCCGGCTGAGCAGGAGCAGCAAGTCATATTAAAGGATAAGTTGGTGTTCTTGCAGGTGAGTTATCAACTATGTGCTTGAAATTCCTTCTCATTTTTTAGAATTATGATGATACTATACATATGCCTCTGTTCTGTTTGTTTCCCGAGAAAATATATTTCTGTTCATCTATGCTTTTTTCACCCACGAACAGACATTGACGAGTTCAAGATTTCGTAGCATGAGAGAATTGGATACGTTTAACCAATAGCATGAGACATTGGTTTTTAGAATTTTAATGATACTATATATATCTCTGTTCTGTTTGTTTCCTGAGAAAATATATCTCCGTTTATTTGAGCTTTTTACTACACCCACGAAGAGACACTGACGAGTTCGAGGTTTCACAGCACGAGATAATTAGACATGTTTAGTGAATACCCGTTTGGTTGCTCTGTTTTAGAAAGTTTTCTTCGGGATATGCACTGAGTATATTTTTAATGGATCTTAAGATTTCATGAGCAATAGCGTGTTAATCTATACATAAATTGACATTAACGTAATGAATTGAATTTTCTGAGCTGATCTTATTCTTTAGGACTTGCTTTACGCGAAATGCATATCGGAGGAGGAGTACCATTGTTCAAAGAGGCCATTGTTGCAGAGATTAGCAGTTCAAGGAGCTGAGATTGAGGTCAGGGATGTTGTTGTTGCAGGGCCAAAACCTAACCAGAAAGAGAATTCCGATGAAGAATGGTCGGAGATCGATTTGAAGGACGAGAACACGCACATAATCAACAAAGAGAATTCACATTCCAAAAACAAATCAAAGCATAGCTCTGCAATGAAGCAGATCAAAGGAGCAGCCTCTGTTTTTAGCTTCGTGACGTCTCATAAACCTGGTAAAAACAGAGCAGAGCAAAGCATTTTTGATATCGAATCCAAACGATCTGCGTCTTCTAAGAACGAAACCGTCTGTGTTGGGGAAAACCCATTTGACAAGTCGAATAAAGAAAGCCAAAAGAAATTGATTCTTATGCAAGAAGCAGTTCAAATAGGCAGCAGTGAGAAGACCAAAAGGAAACCTTTCAGGACTCTGTTTAATAAAGAACAGAGTGATGGGCAGGGAGGTTGCGGTGGGACTGGTAATGAGGAGAAAACTCAGAGATCGGGCAAAAAGCAATGGCGTTTTGATGGGTTTCGTAGACGGAATAGAAATGATTCGGAGGAGGAGACTACTCCTTTGCCTCTCGATGAGAGATCAGACAGTGAAGCTTATTTTGAATCTTGCAAGCTTGTATCTAGTCCCATTGGGGAAGGACCAGACACCAAATTGATCAAGAGGAAGCTGCATGCAGAGGGTTCTGCACCAGATTTTTTCATTGATAAGGTAAAAAAATATAGGGTATTTTTCTTTAGGTTCTTTAGTTAATTTCATCTGAAATGAAGCACCTGATTTTGATCCTGGAAGTTGCAGGTGTTGGGAGAGAAGATAAAGAAGGAGCTTTCACGAATTCAGACAGAACTTAATGCTACAAATCCCAATCTTAAGTTTTCGTAAGTAGAAATTTATACATCACATTTTATTAAATCCTTTGGTAGTTCAAGTTCAATCCAAATTAGTGTTATTTGGGAGTTTAATGGCATTCTATATATATATATAGATACTAATATGAAAATTAAAATCAACAATCGAGTGGGAGCTGGATTTAGAATTGACCAGACACAAAAATGAATTCAGGATTTCAATAACTAGGATTTTAGACGAAGCTGATAAAACAAAACCTGGATTTATAAACAAAAAAGATTGGATTTTTCTAAGTGGGTTCTTCTTCTTGTTCTTACAGAAATTCATATATACTTACCCAAGTTTTGTGTTCCTCACAAAATTCAATCAGGAATGATCAAATTGAAGCAATCTCCACCAAGCTCCCTGTTGACAAGGCTGATCTGAACAAGTTTTTTCCCAAGTAAGGCTATCTTTTTCTTCTTCTTCTTCTTCTTCTTCTTCTTCTTCTTCTTCCCAAAAGTGAAATTTTAGTTCATGTCTATTTTTCTTGCTGTAATTTAAAGACTAATAATCAGGCGGTTAAAAAATTTAGATTAATATCTAATTTTCTTCTTCTCCCATACGAGTTTATTCTTATTTTATTTACTCTCCTTAAATGCTCAAAGGTCATGGTGTGATAGATATGGCGAAGTTGTGCTTGATGTGGTGAAGAAAGAGTTCAAGGAGCATGTGGGAGAGATGGAGAGCATGCGAAACGCAGCAAGAGAGAAACAAAACGGCAGCTCAATGAGATGGACAACATTTGAAGAAGATGATGATGATGAGAACTGTCACCCAAATCTTTTTGCAGCTCACCACCATGATTATGATCATTCAAGCTCAACAAAGCAGCCCAGGTTCAGTAGTACCCCATGGAATGAAGATTCAGCTTCCAATTATCACGGCCATGGCCGTACTGGTAGGAGCTTTGGGTATAATAATCCCTTCTTCCATGATTACAGCAGAGAAAATCAAGAACAACAGAACCCTTTCTGGGTAACACCTTGATTTTCATTATAATATATATAATGAAAATCAGAATGGTTTCTGGATTTTGAAGTTATGGGTCTTGGTTTCTTTCTGGGTTAGACTTGAAAAAAGCTGGCTGCAGCCTGCAGAGGCTCTTTGTTGTATGTTTTTTCTTTAGAGAATATATATATATATATGTAATCACGGCCATGGCCGTACTGGTAGGAGCTTTGGGTATAATAATCCCTTCTTCCATGATTACAGCAGAGAAAATCAAGAACAACAGAACCCTTTCTGGGTAACACCTTGATTTTCATTATATATATATATAATGAAGATCAGAATGGTTTCTGGATTTTGAAGTTATGGGTCTTGTTTCTTTCTGGGTTAGACTTGAAAAAAGCTGGCTGCAGCCTGCAGAGGCTCTTTGTTGTATGTTTTTTCTTTAGAGAATATATATATATATATATATATATATTTGTATGTATGTATGTATGTAAGATCAACATCCAAATTAATTATGATTATTATTTTAATTATTTTTTTTATAATGATTGATTCAGACATGTACACCTACTGGCATTGACAGTGGAAGTTGTTTTGGTATACCAAATATTTTTTTACCAAACAAAAACAAAAATGAGAAGCAATTACCAGACACCTTCTCAAGCAATATTAACATATGATTTTGAAAATTAAAAATTAAAAATTAAAATTAAATTAATACTTAACCCATCACAAAAGGTTGCTGACAAAATCAGGAAAATCAAGGACTTTATCAACCACATCCGATACGAGTACTCCGAAAATGGGTGTGAGTGGAATACACAGTAACACGGGAACACTTGCTTTCCTTACCTCAATCATAAGAACGACCGCAAAAATAATTCAACTTTCCTCAAATTTGAAAGCTCTCTCTTCTCTCTCTCTCTCTCTCTCTCTCTCTGAGCTGGGTTTGAGTTTGCACTTCAAATTCAATCATCATCATCATCCACAGAGCCTCTCGAGCAAGCTGTTTCTCTTTCTCTCTCTGCGTATCTGTCTCCCTCTAGAAGCAGAAGCTAAAAATGGGTACCAGCAGTAGTCGACTGGGGTCGCGTCCATCTCGGACACGACTCAGCTGGACCAATCCAAACCGTACCGGGCTCTCCTCTTTCCTCATCTGCGGTGGCTCCTCTTCTCGTGCTCGCCTCGAGGTTTACTTCCCGTTGCCATCATTATCATGTTCTGTTTTTTTCTTTTTTGGTTTCGTTTTTATCACTTAGTTATGGTAATTTAATTCGTAAAATCAAACTTAGGATTAAAGTAAATAAAGTTGGTTTTTGGATGGTCCGTCTCATTATTCATCGTTATTTCTGAGAATAAATTTATATTCAGAAATGCTCATATCAAGTTTTTCGATTAATTTGATCTATTTTCTATCGAAAACTTTAGTTCAGGATGATTTGATATTTGGGGGTTTGATCAATTGGTGCAAATAAATTGGCCCTTCTTCGGTAATTCTGCAAATTTATTTGTTAATTGAATTTTTATTTGATGGGTGTTATTTGATCTCCAGTTCTATTTGCTGGAATAATTAGGAGTCTTGCTTATTCTTAGATTACCAGATTCTCTCTCTTTATCTCGCTCTGTGTGTGTGCGTGTGTGTATATACACACACGCATGTATATATCCAGATACGAGACGGTCAAAATTTGGTGGTTGAGACTCATTGCACAGAGATTGACTTTAATTTGTCAAATATGTTTACTTTCACCCTCAACAAGACGAGTTTTTAACGACAAGAACTTTTTCTGCTGTGTCTTCATAGGATGCTGATGCATTAAGGGCAGGGTATGATGGGCATGCACATTGGGTGTCTTTAGATACCATAACCAAAATTATCATCCACGAGCTGCGCGGCTCTACTTTATGCGAGGCCAATTAGTGGTGGCAATAGAGGGTATGTAGGAATCTAGACTTCACTCTTGATCAAGAGAATGTACCAAGTGCTGAAGATGTGTCGTTTTTGGGTTAAAGTCTTTGGATGTGCCTGCTTCTTTGTCTTGTTAACCTCGTGGCACCCCCTTCAAGTTCTAGTTTTCTAGCAATTGATACAGTTCTTGAAGTTAAAACTTTTAAGATCTCTTAACATGTTAACATGATTTGAGATTGTCTACTTAATGTTAAATCTAAAGATTGCAAATATTTTCATTCAGTGTTGCAACGTTACGTGTGCTACTTAAGGGTACTTGGTTCTTGCCCAACTCGGGTATTGAACTTTTTCAAAGAGGAGAAAATGGTTTTCTTGAAGTCCTATTGTTATATTTGGAACTGTACAGAATTCATAGTCTTTAAATGGGTAACATCAGTCATGTAGACAGGAATATTTAAGCACCTAATGTTGCGGATGAGTTCATCAACCTATTTTTCAAGGAATTTTTTTTATTCTAATTGCTTGTGACACCGATTTCGAGTTGCTAATTTTATGATCTGAATAAGTTATTGACATGATGTCATTTCTTTTCTTGCAGATGGAAGAATGCCCAGCTGACATTGCTGTAAATTCTTCAGCAAATTGTGATCCAGCCGGCAATATAGGTCAGAAGCCCCCCGAAGATTCTTCTCTTATTTTCACCTCAGGAACAGGGTTTTCTAGCTCAAATGCTGAAACTAGAACCTTACCTGACAGCAGCATTCAGGCCAATTTGCAACTTGTTGAAACAACTAATCTGGAGAAATACTTGCCTAAAACAAAGGAGTTAGTTAGTCCTTCCCAGGTAAGTGCAGATTCTTGTCATGATGAATATTATAGGGACAGAAGTAATGCAGCTAGCACTTCACTTAATGAGCCACAATCTTCAAACACCGTCTCTTTAAATATTTTGGCTAACGAGGATTCAATCACTGGCATTGGAAATCCAGCAAATGAGGCTGTATCTCAGTTATGTCCTGAGCCAAGAAGTTCACATTGCCCAGGCCTTGGAAATTCACTTTCTCATGGGGTATCTGATGAGAATCATGTTGCTGAAACTACATCGATCCAAAATTTTAGTTCGGATTCTGTAGCGCATGTTTCTGGATTACCAATTCACTCACAAAGAGGAGAGACAATATCTTCAGGTTTAGGATTTCTTGTGCCTAATGGGGAACAAACCCAGGGAGATGGAAGCTTGCTCCATGTTGATGTGGTGAGTATCTCTTCGAACACTTTGTCCTCTGCCGATATTGATAGAAGTAACCGTGAGGCCAGACGGAATAGTAGAAGACTATTTTGGGATGCATTTTCAAGACACAGTTCTCAAAGGCTGACTGACCGTCATACTATGTTTTTCAACTGAGGACAATGATGATCTAGGATCTCATGACAGATGGCTCCTTGACTTTAGTGGTGATTTTTTCGACGACAGGGTTAGGGGTGATTCTGGTTACCTGGGTGGTAGAGTTCACAGTCTGCATGAACGAAGACGGTACTCAAGATCTGAGGTGAAACTTGCAGAATATATTAAAGTAGTTGAAACTTGTTCTGTTTTAAATGTTCGGACTTTTAGTATATATTTACTTAAAATAAAGTTTTTTTCTGCACTTTGTGGGTTGGGCTTCTGGGTCTATTAATTGTGACTGAGCAATAATTGTGTTAATATTAGGCCACAAAAATCTTGTTACCCACCCTCTGCATCAGTAGTTTTTTAATCTTTTATCATTATTTTTTCTCATTCTTTGAAGGAATCGGGCCTATGGGTCATGAACTGAACCATGGAGAAGTAGTTAGTGTTAATATATGCTTCAAAAATCTTTTTACCTGCTGCACTGATAGTGTTTGTTTATGTATTTTCATTATTATGATATGAAGCTGTCATTTCTTTATATATGGCAGTGGAAGCTATGCTCAATATTTCTTCCTATCCTTTATGTTAATCTTTGGGCACATTTTTTCTGTGGCCCTCTGTAGATTTGGGGAAGACTGCGTGGGGGTGGCATTAATGACAATAACCAGCAAAATACCTTCTGTCCATCAGGAATCCACCCTGATGGTACATGCTCATGTGAATCATTGTTGATGACTGACGAATCTAGTACTCGTGCGAGCATATCACGTATAGTCATGCTTGCTGAGGCTCTATTTGAGGTAGTTTTGCTCCTACCTATTCTCATATAACTTGCAGCCTACATATTGGCATCCTATTTCCTTCTGCAATCTGTTTTTTTGCAGGGAATACAAGCACATACGCTCACACATACTGAATTTTCTTGTGTTTCTCTTTCCTACTTAAGTGGATTATTTGGATGTTATGGGTGATTAGAATTTAGATAATTATGTTTCTTGTGGCCTCTGGCATACAAACTTCAACCAGGGTCTTAGTTTAGATCTCACTTTTTTGGTTCTACTTTATTAGAACTATTGGCTTGATGATAGATAAGTGATTTTTTTTTTCTTTTTTTGTTTTTCAGCAGTCGGTTTATTTTTTCTTCTTTCTTCCCCTAGCACTGTAACAAATTTTCAAATATTGGTTTTTTCTACTTCTTTAGTAGAGAGTATTGAGAAAAGAGGTTTGGGATCACTGGAGACATATTTGGTGGCCTCTTTTAGGTATTCAAATTCTTAAATGGATGCTAAGTTTCATATCCCTGCAACTTGGGAGTCTGGTTCCAAATAAGTCTTAAAATAAAAAAAAAGTTTGGACAATTTCCTCTCTCTTTCTCTGGTTTTTGAAAATTTATGGATTCATGATCTCCATTTTCTTGGAGAAACTGTAATTTTTTGGTGGTTGGGTCAAGGCACTTAAAAGTGATGCGGTGCTGGTGATGAAACTAGAAACCTTACTCTTGATATTTTGGAATTTTATTCAAAATGTCCTTAGACCATTACAAAAATCAAACTTAAGAACAACTTTTGCATTTGGAAGTGACAATCTGGTCAATTTAGTTTTGTCAGTCATCACATGAACAGAATACCAGAAGAGAAATGTTAGATTCTCTTATTCAGAACTAGCTAAACAGTGTTTTGGATTATGGTATTTTATTAATTTGTGCTCATCTTTCCTGATATGGATTCCTTAGTTGCCTTCTTTCATTTAGTTCTTCTTATGGCAAATCTGCAGGTTTTGGATGAAATCCATCGCCAGCCTATGTCACTTTCCCTATCTATGGTTTCTCTCCCAGCTCCAGAATCAGTGGTTGACTCTTTCCCTCTAAAGAGTCACAAAAAGGTGGATTCAACAGACAGGGATGACATTGAACAGTAAGTTTCTCTTCGAGGCAATACTTGCTGAATGACGATTGCAAATAGGTTTATCAGACAAAAGTTTCTTTATTTTGACTTGCGAATATCTTGAGAAAGCTTCATTTAGATATTATTGCGAGAACGAACTCAAGTCGAAATAATTTAACTACTTAGCTAATATCACTATTACATAGGTGTTACATTTGCCTTGCGGAGTACGAGGAAGGGGACAAAATACGAGTTCTCCCTTGTCACCATGAGTACCATATGTCTTGCGTTGATAAATGGCTCAAAGAGATACATGGGTACGGGACCTTACAGTTGATAAATGATCATTTATCATTTGCCTGTTGTGTTTCTATTAATAACTTTTATGTAATTTTTGTTGATTTGCAGGGTTTGCCCCCTCTGTCGAGGAGATGTTCGACACGGTGTGACTGGTTGCTCCAACTCAGAAAATCCCCCCTTGTCCTAGGATTGTACATACACTTGTAAATAGTTATAGATTTTCTCTATAAATGTTGCATGTATCAAGAATTTCACTGTTACTATTCTCTAAAATGGTATTCTGGATCATCCTTTCTTCAGAATATGTTTTGTCGAACTTTTGGGGGAATGAATTTGCTGCTATGTTGTTATGTGCATAGCAATTGTACCTGAATTTGCAGAAAGATCCATGTATATATATATATATATATATATATGCATATACATAATGTATAAAATTTTACATGTTGGATCATATTATGCATTTTGATCCTTGTAGGTGAGAAATAAGATGATGTAAATTGTGCTGGAATTAAGCAATTTTTACCTGAATTTGCAAAAAGATCCATGTATATATATAATATATATATATATGCATATACATAATGTATAAAATTTTACATGTTGGATCATATTATGCATTTTGGCATATTTCATAATAGCAACTTTTTGACTCATCATTCTTGTTGGTGAAATTGGTGCTTGTGATTTTTAGGAATGCTTTGAGTTGCAGCATGTAACACACAAAAATCAGTAGTACAAATGTAGTAAAATGTTGAAATGAAAAAATATCATTCTAATTTTAGTCATTTTATTTTGTAATCTAAATTATATATATATATATATATATATTAATGACGTTATACTACTTTTAGATATTTTAAAAAATTATTTTAATTAATTAATTAAATTAATATTAATGAATTAAAAATATCAATAAATATATATATTTTTTTTGTTATAAGTAAAAATAAAAAAATAAAAAAATTAAGAAATCGTCATTCACATCCTACGTTAAGAGACACTTATAATATCATCAGTGAAGAATTGTTAGAAATTATCAGACACTTGAGCATGTAGATGGAGATCCATTTGAAGAGAGAAACCAGCATTCACCAATCAGTCAGCACATTTGTTCCGTTCGCGATATTATACCTACCAATCCTACAACGATAATTGTTTGATCGAACAAATGAGGGCAGTATGCGCATTAGTATCGTAATTTTTCTTAGCGAGTAACTTCATAATTAGAGAGTTATCAATTTCAAAAATGATATTACGAAATCCGACATTTCAAGCGAGTTGAAGGTCATCGTAGGTTCCCCAAAGTTCAGCCTTTAGTACTGAACAACTACCAATTTTCCTACTAAAACTTCTCAAACAAACGCAATCCTTGTCCCTGATAAGTCCGTCACAGCGTGAGAGATTAGTTGTAGCACGAGAAGCACCGTCAGTGTTCACTTTTAACTATCATTTGGTTAGTTTATGTCAAGTAATAAATTTTTTAAATTTGCGCGTCATACTTAAAAAAAAATTTATATCAATAGTCATAAAAGTATAATCACATTAAGTATATTTTTTAATTAATTAAAATTATTTTTTAAAATATTTAAATATAATTAATAAAAAAATTAAATGTTTAAAAGAAATTAAAAAAAAAATTAAGCAACAAATTATGACCAAATAACGTTGACAACATTTTAAGTAATTTAATAATGTCTGAAAAAAAAATAAGAAATCAATTCCTCAACTACTACTTGTCCTGAAATCCCTTCATTGTCTTCCTCTTCCTCTCCCTCTCCCCTGCCCTGTATCCCTCTTCCCAGTACCCGAAGCGGGTGGAAGATTTTGTTTTTTGTTCTTCTTGCAGGATTTTTCCGATTAGTTATATCGTTCATTTTGTAGTTAAATCGAATATCTGGTGTTAGTATCTATATCGCCTTCCGCTGTATCACTGTGGTTGACCAAAATCCTTGAGGTCAAAACTTTTGCTTTCTGCAAAATTCTCCGACGCGTTAATGATCAATCAATCACGAAAATGCTAACCCTAGATCCGTAAACTCCATCACCATCAATTAAAGTATCTTAACTTCTCTCAACTCTGCTTGGTGTAGATTTTTTTTTTTTTCTGTATCAATACTATATTCTATATGATCCACGATGCAATCAGAAACAGTAACCCTAGCTCCAGCTTTTACTTTCTTCCCAACCCTTAAACCTCCTAATAAAACCCTTATCTTCCACAAAATCTCTGTCCTAATCATTACTTTCCTCGCTTATGCATCCTTCCATGCATCTCGCAAGCCCCCAAGCATCGTCAAGAGCGTACTCGGACCCACGATTGAGTCCAATTCGTCGACAACTCAAGCTAGTTTAGATCCACTGAACTCAAATTCGAGCTCCACGGATACCGGATGGGCGCCGTTTGACGGGCCGGAGGGACCACACAGGCTTGGAGAACTCGATCTCGCCTTCCTTTCAGCGTATTCGGTAGGCATGTATTTTGCAGGACATGTTGGAGATAGGATTGATTTGAGATTGTTCCTTGTCTTTGGAATGATAGGCAGTGGGCTTTTCACCGTAGGTTTTGGATTAGGCTATTGGTTTGATGTGCATTTGTTATGGTACTTCTTGGGTGTCCAGATTGTGTGTGGTTTGTTTCAGTCAATAGGGTGGCCTTGTGTGGTTGCAGTGGTGGGAAACTGGTTTGGGAAGGAGAAGAGAGGGTTGATAATGGGAGTATGGAATTCACATACATCAGTTGGTAACATTATTGGGTCGGTGGTGGCATCTGGAGTTTTGGAGTTTGGATGGGGATGGTCATTTGTTGTGCCTGGGATTCTAGTGATTCTGGTTGGGGGTTTTGTGTTCTTTTTTCTTGTGGTGAGTCCTGGGGATTTGGGATTTGAGGCAGCAGGGAAGGAGATTGAGATGAATGAAAATGGAAATGGAGTGGTGAATTTGGAGAAAGTGGAGACTGAGGAGGCAGTGCTTCTTGAGACTGAAGACTCAGATCCGTCAGCTCCCATTGGCTTCCTGGAGGCCTGGAGGTTGCCAGGTGTGGCTCCATTTGCTTTCTGCTTGTTCTTTTCCAAGCTGGTGGCTTACACGTTTCTCTATTGGTTGCCCTTCTACATAAGGCATACAGGTACCACTTCTAAATACATTGAGTTTCTTGATTAATATTTTATCACAGGGAGAGTTTATTACTGAATCTGGATTAGTGTAAAAACATTTGTTGTTAGTGGCAGTATGATTCATTACATGAATTCATTGATGAAGAATAAGAAAAATAGACTATATGCCATTCACACTGGTCATAATTCCAGCGTTCTATAACTTTGTGACCCAGATGAGGGATTTGTAACTTGAAATGGATACAGCAAGCATTAGGTGTTTGAATTGATGAGTAATTATAGTCTTGTTCTGGAATTGCAGCTGTAGCTGGTGTGAATTTGTCACATAAAACTGCTGGAATTCTTTCTACAATATTTGATATTGGAGGAGTATTTGGTGGGATTTTAGCAGGGTACATTTCTGATGCAATTGAAGCTCGTGCAATTACTTCAATTGCTTTTTTGTCACTGTCGGTCCCTGCCCTTGTTTTATATCGTGTTTATGGAAGCATCTCTATGTTCGCCAGCATCACGTTGATGTCTCTTTCTGGATTGCTCGTAAATGGTCCTTACTCACTTATCACAACAGCTGTGGCAGCAGATCTTGGCACACAGGACCTGATTAAAGGAAATTCCCGTGCATTAGCAACTGTAACAGCAATCATTGACGGTACTGGTTCAGTAGGAGGAGCTCTGGGGCCAGTTTTAGCTGGTTATATCTCGACAAGGGGATGGAACAGTGTGTTTTTTATGCTTATTGCTTCTATTTTCTGTGCTTCTTTGTTTTTGATTCGTATTGTTAGAAGTGAGATTAAAACGAAGTTGAATGAGGGAAAATGGCAGTGGACTAGCTTCATGCAGCATTGATGCAGAATTTTGAAGGCATCACTCGTTAAGTATGAATTCTGTACCTTAACCTAATTAGGAAAAGATCACACTTTAGAAAGATAATCGAGAACTTAAAATCATCATACATGTATTTGCAGCCCTAGGATTGTATCTCATTCTTATATACGAAATTCATGGTCCATTGAACTTAAATCATCATACATGTATTTGTAGCTCTAGGATTGTATCTCATTCTTTATACGAAATTCATGGTCCATTGAACTTAAATCATCAAACATGTATTTGTAGCTCTAGTATTGTATCTCATTCTTTATACAAAATTCATGGTCCATTTAAACATATACAAGAAATCACTTCTTTCCTGAAAAAAATCTTCATTAAACTTATCATTTGCTTAAAAATCAGAATTCTAGCATGTAGATTTCAGCAAGAGGAACATTTTATGACAGTTTTTTTTTTTTATTTGGAATAACTGAACTGATTAGTACTCGAACTAGCCTTTTAAACTTTCTACAACTAATCAATTAGATTAAAAGAAAGCCTCTAATATATTGAAATATTAGCAAAAACTGTTGGTTGAAAGCCATCATTCAGATGCAAATCAAGCTAAAAGGCAAGAGAAAGAGCATGTGCTTGCTGCAAAATTCCAATTCTATTAGTTTGTAAATTAATTTTTTGATGATCATCACTTAAAATCTCTGAGTTTGTCAGATAATTACTAAATAGAGCTCGCTATTTTTTTGTGTGTATTATAGGTCGGTGGTAGCACTCAAAATCTTTAATGTCGTAGTTTAGAGACTTATTTTATTAGTGTAATGATAGAATTACGGTGATCAAATTGATTTTGTCATGGTAAACTATTGCGATTATGGAGAAAGGAATAGTTCCTAGTGGTTAGGTTTTCTTATTTTGGATAGTGATATCGGACTAATACCGAAATTAATCTTTTTTTTTTTTTTTTAAATTGAAAAAGGAAGGTAAGAATTCCCATTTCTGAAGCAAAAATATTTTGTGCGGTATATATAATCTTATGAAAGAGTAAAAAAGTGCTTTCATTGTTGTGGAATAAGAAGTCTTCATATCTTAGAGCGGGATTCACTTTTTTGAGAATGAGTCGAAACAATAACAAGAATCTTTCTAGTAGAACATCTTTAACAATTCATGGAGAGAAAGTTCACTAATAGACCGAAGGATAAGTAATTCGACTCATTCACATCCAGATCATGAATGTTTGGAATCCATATTATGCAAGGAAACATTGCTCTTGCTAATTCGAATTTAAGGGTGATATAAAATCGGTCTATTTCCGACATCATATCCATAGTTAACGCATTCATCATAGTTAGAAGCTCCGGCTCCATATTAAGTTCACGATCGATATCATCACTATCATCAATATCATTACTCGCATCAATATCGTCAATGGTAACTTCTCTTTTTCCTTTTTTTTCCCCCATAGGGCAATTTCCTCCATTATTTTACCAAAACAGAAACTTTCATTCTGACTGGTCTGCAGATAAACAACAAATGAAAAGAAAGCTGTAATGGCTTTTTCTCTACTCTCCCATCTTCTGTGAATCCAGAAACAACAATGGTGTTTTATGTAAATAATTTAAGTAAAAGATACTTAAAACTAACACAATTTATTTTTGTTAAGGGTCAAATTTAATATAATTACACTTTCATATAATTCCAATGTAATATTTTAAAAATAAATGTAAAAAATTAAAGAATTATAAATTTAATTCTGTCAATAAAAAAGTATAGATTAAATTAAAAAATAAATCAATATTCATCGAATATTTTTGCGGATAAACCTAAGTATGTTATACTTGGTGGGGAATGTTGTATGTTTTTGAATCCCTGTCATTGTATTAATCAAAATCATACAAAATATTCTTTAAAACTAAAAATTCTATTTACTTCAACATGTAATTCATCGTCTAATTATTTTAGACTCGATTCAGAAATGATATTGCTACACCGATAACACAACTAAAGAGCTATCAAACTCCCTTTTATCCATCCTCCACCTGACGAGAAGGAGAAAAAAGTTTTCCTCAACCCTTTCTCCCCTCACTTGATTTGCACGACCTAATCGCACTCGAACTTAATACAAATACACTACGAGTGTATACGATCGTAGGATATTCACGAACCCAAAAGGAGGAAAAGATTTTCCTCAACCATTTTCCACACTTGATTTGTATGACCTAATCACACTCGAACCTGTCACAAATACTCTACTGAGTGCAAATGATCGTAGGATATTCATGATTCACGAACCAAATGGGCAAAAAAGTATATAAGAAGCAATAATCAGAGGCAGAGCTGAAAGAATTATATAAGAACTTTCTTGGATAAGAAAAGATGGTACATCATTCTCTAAATTTTGTGTCTTTGCACAAATCAAATTCTATATAACATATATAATACGAAAGTCCTACACCAATCAGCCCCCTTGGGCTCCTCAGATGCCAAAGTCACCGAGGAAGAGATCAAAAGAATTTCAGAATATTGTTTTGCTGAATTATTCTCCACAAGATTATCTGTTCTCTCTTTTTCTCAGCCTAAATTCTCTTTCCTGAATGATGCACCACTAACGGGAGGAAATAGAAAAGGGGAATGTCTATATACCCTGATGAATTTATATACACCCAATTTCAGGACTTGCCAAAATGGGTCAACCATTTTTATTGACTAGTTCTATATTATAGCCTGTTGAAGCAATGAAATTCAAAATTATGACCTGGGTTTTATCCCTCTAGCAGGGATTTCAGATTCTGAAGTCCCTCAGCAGAAATGCTTCTTCTCACACTGGGTCTCTGTACCACTATTTGGGGAGGAGGCTCCTGGTGAAAACTCACCATTACAACAGTCAAATTGTCCATGGCTCCGCGCTTTATTGCTTCATCTACTATCTGCTTGCAGCATAATTTTACGTCGTTGTGTTCTTGAAGTCTCCTTCGTGCAAAATCAACAGCGTTTTGGCTGGTGAAAACATCCCATATTCCATCACTACCGATGATAAGAAATTCGTCTTCATTTGTTAGTGATATCAGTTTGAGTTCTGGTTCAGCACTCAAGGGTCCACCCCTTTCGCTCATTTCCTTCATTCCTTCAAGGTGCCAATCGCCCAAGGCTCGGGTGACAGCTAATTGACCGTTTAGATAACCATCGTAAACATATCCCCCAAGAGACTCTATCCGTGTTCTTTCTTTTGGACAACAAGTCCTATGATCCTCTGACATTTCCATGGCTACTCCACGTCGTGACAGTACTGCCCGACAATCTCCAGCATTTGCCACGAGTAAAGACCTATGAGATAACATCGTAACCCAATTCAGAAAATGGAGAAAACATATACAAAACATGTCATTCTCTGGCTAAAAAGGTCGTTCTGTCTGTCCGTCTGTCTGTCTGAAAATATGAGACAAGTAGCACGTATATATGCATGCAGATTATACGAATTCATAACTAGAACTGAAATAGAGGTCGTATTTACCTCCCAAATATCATTGCAGTGAGTGCAGTTGTGCCAGAGGATAGGGCACAATCAAGAGTGGATGACTGTGCAAATGCAGCATCAGTCTCCATAAATGATCTTGTAACTACTTTCTCAAGTTTTAAAGGAAAATCAGCATCCTCCACAATTACTCTTGGCAAATAGTCACGAACGAAATATGCTGCATCCTTTCCTCCGTGTCCATCAAATACCTATCTCGAGCCAATTACTATATTAGATGATATCATTTTCCTTACTAGGAAATTTCATGCCCGCTAAAACACCAATCTTTTCTTTGAAGTCTCAAAACCAAATAGCTAAAACAACAGAAACTACAGTACCAAATAAAAGTTCATCAGAGATCTTACACCATAAAACGAAACTTTCTCCTCACTATGCAGGTTATAGCCAAATTTCTTAGCCAAGTCACTGATACATATGTGAGTATCCTCCATAGAATTACGCCCTCCAATGTCAGAACACTCTCCTGAACGCAAGGCAGGAGCGAAATCCGTCACTATGTTCTGCTTTCTGTCCAAAACAACTGTATCCTCGCAGATGCTTTCAAGCTGGATGGAGAACACGAGAACTTACAATGAAACACTAGAATGTTTAACAAGTAAAATAAACCATTGAACTTTGATAAAAAAAAAGACTGTACAGTTAAAATACAATGTACATAATAGCAAAATGTCTAGTTGAATTGGCACACCAACTCATTTTTTGCGGAAACATGATTGAAATTAACTCATGGATTCAATCTACTTTTCTGCGGTAACCCAGAATTATAGCAGTATCATATATCCAATGTGCCGAAAATATAAGGGGAAATGAGTATTTTCAAATATATTTTGCAGATTTACTCATCAAAAATATCGAACAAATTGAGTTATTCAACTTCAACAGGGATAGAAGACTGGTATGATGAAGGAATTAAGCCTACATTTAATATAGATGACAACCCAACATCTCAAGTCCCTCTGTAGTATATATAGCTATGGCCTAAACCCAAACAAAAATCCACATTGATGGAGGAAAGCATTTCCTGTTACTGTCTGACTTGTCTTTCTCTTTGTTATACACTATGAAAATGTTTGTTTACCAGAAAACAAAATCAAATGAAGAAATATGGACAAAACCCAGAGAATGCAGACAGGAGGATGATCAAGAACATCCCTTGATAACAATACTCATCGGGAGGAGGAAATCCCACTATGGAGCAATAAAAAGTGGAGGGGAAAAATCCATCATGGTGAATTTAATGTCTCCCCATCCGACAATAACTTGTCAGTAAAGAGAGGAGAAAACAACAGGAGAAAAGAAAGCTTCAATGTTGAAACAATAATTCATGTTCTTAATAGGGTTGAAATTTTTTGAAGTTTGATGTGGAACTATACACCAAAGGAAGCATACTAATTTCCTTAGAAGAGAAATTGACAAGACTAATTTCAGTCACTCAGTGATATATAACTGCAAATCATCTCAAACCCTTCATCTGCAATTTGCACATACAAGCAACCCATAAATGTTCAACAAAACAAGAAAAAACCCAATTGAAATTTTTTTTTTCCAAAAAAAGAAAATCAGAAATCCACAGCCGCAAACCATCAACAACAAAAAGATCTAACAGAACCTAGAAATCAAATATACACCAAAAGCAGCAATAATCCCAAAAGAAGAAGATATAAACCAAAACCACCCAACAACCAAATTTAGAAAAGAGGGAAAAAAAAAAAAAGAAGGAACTTTCTAAAATTCTCAAAGTTGAGGAATTGAATTCTCACAGGAAACGAGTTTCCTACAGTGATCCGGTCCCTGGAACTCAAGGAAGGAGACTCCTTATCCCAGTTGTCCATCTGGGTACCCAAGACTTGAGCACAATGTAAAGGCCAGGGCTTTTTATTATTGTTCTTGTCGTTGCTGCTGCTACTGCTGGTGGTGCTGTCCCTTAGCTCATCCATTAATTCTTGGTTAACCTCCTCTGCGTCCTGTATACACATGGTGGGAGACGACAGACGATGATGCCTTGTGTTTATATGTTTTCTCAGGCGCACAGCCACTTGATGTGGGAATCCAAAGCAATTAAGCAGAAGAAAATGGAGAGTAAAAGAGAATGAAAAGGGGAAAAATAATGGATTGGAGAGAAGATACTGGGAATATGTCAACAAAGAGTTAAATGAATTAAGGGTCAATGTTGCTGTAGTGGTTAAGAAAGAGAGAGAGAGAGAGAGAGAGAGAGAGAGAGAGAGAGAACTTAAGTTTCCATTTTTTTAAAGTCGAGATTTTTCCACACGAAAGCGTGGCTGAAAACCAGTTGGTTGAGAGGCTAGTTTGCTTTTCTTTTGATATTTTCGTTCTTAAGTTTCTGGTATTTTTCTCTTTCATGGCTTTGTTGGTAGACTTTTAACCCCATGTTTATTTTCTTTTTCTTGGAATTTTCTTCTCCTTTCTTTCAGGTTTCATGTGGAGAAAGAGACACTGAATAATCCAAATCTCCATGGATCCATCCAGCATATATAAATTCTTAACACCCCAAAAATTTGCATGTGAAAACAGCAAATTCATTCCAATCTTTTTTAACATAAAACACACCAAAACTCTCCAAGCTTAAATATAATGCTTCTACCCTTTTTTTTTTTTTTCTTAGAACAGATTTTTACTGTATTGTTCTTATTCTAAGTAAGAGAATCTAATCTTCGTTGATCTAAAAATACAACAAATCCAATTAAATTTATCTTAATTCAATTACTATAATCTCGTTAATATACTGATAAACAAAATAAATGAGATAATCGTTCTTTAATTAAGTAGAATAAAGTTTTCTCTTCAAAAGAAGAAGAAAATTAGAAGACTAACAAAAAAAAATATGAAGTTATCATTTGGTTGTCAAGCTCAAATCTTGAATTATGCCTGAAATAATTGGGAAATAAATAATGATATATTATGTATCACCTCCTAAGTGGTTATATTGATTTGACATAATTATATAATAAAATTATAATAACAATAAAATAAAGGCAAACAAAATTTGTGGGTAATTTCTTTTGGAACACTAAAAAAAAGTAAAATCAACAAAAAAATAAATGAAAAATTATGTTCTTCCACAATATATATTTTAATATATATATATATATTATTAAGAAATTATATTATAATTTGTGTAATGTATATTAATTAATGTGAATGTGAACATAAGCCAAAAACAAAAAGAAACAGCAATTGGCCAAACTTATTATGTAATTATGAAACAAATGGAGAATATATATATATATATATGAAAAAAAGGTAAATTATATAATATATTTTGTATTATATTGAAATTATTATATGTTATAATAATAATAATAATAAACTATATAATATATTTATAATTATTATAAATTTAGATTCTTATTTTTAGGCAAGAAACAAATTTTAAAATTTTAATCTTAAATAAAAATTGAAATAATCACAAGGTCAAAATCCTTCATTTTCAAGTTTCCAAATTTCATTTGCTACCAAATGTGAACACATGGTGTGCATTACCAACTAATTTGTTTATTTAATAATTTAATTTAAGAAATTACTTTGAAAATAAGCCAAAAAAATTAATTAATTAATTAATTAATTTTTTAACTCAATAATTAATTTTTTTAAAATATAAAATTGCCCATGTTGGAGGACCACGTGGGTCTTTTTTTTAAAAAAATAAAAAATAAAAAATTAAATTGGGTAATAATTGCTGCTTAAAAGATTTGACAGTGAGATTTTCAAGCACCCAATTGGCCAGTTGTGAATTAGAAGAAAATGACATTGAAAAATTTTCTCTCCTATTTTCTGTTTGGCTTCCGAGAAAAAAAAAGTTGGTAAGTGGGTCTCGCCCACATCTTTCCAAAATATCTTGAATTCTTCTTTTTCTTTTTGCAGATCAATAATGGCGATCGCTAAATCAAAAAAGAATGGTTCCTTGCTTATGACATCATGCCTGGCTTTTCCATTTCCAATTGGTAAAGCAAAGAATCCAATTTGTACAATCAAAATTTCCTCCACATGAAAAAAAAACATATATATATATATATACACACACACACACATAATAAAATTTTAATAATTTAAAAAGGGTTCGATAAATATATCATAATCTTGTTTTAAATAATAATAGAAACTCGAATTCATTTTAAACTATGATCCGAATAATTCTGTATAGCATAGATTAGAGTATGAATAAAAAATATATATATATATATACACACACACATTAAAATTTTAGTAATTTAAAAGGGGTTCGATAAATATATCATAATCTTATTTTAAATAATAATAGAAATTCGAGTTCATCTTAAACTATGATTCGAATAATTCCGTAGTAGTATAGATTAGGGTATGAATAAAAATACAATCTTTACAAGATTTTATTTCCAATCATATGTAAGTAACACAAAATTAGAAATCTCGGTGGTGTAATCTGATGGTTGATCAGATGGTGATTTGTGATGACGTGGATTAATCTTGTCCGTGGATGTGCATTACTTGTAAAAGTAATTACATCATCTCTTAAATTCTGATTAAATTTGTTAATAAAGTTTAGGGATATAATATGATATTAACTACTTTGCAAATTGCAGAGTCAGCACAGAACCCTTTATTTTCAATTTGCTAAGTAAAGTTGTTTCAGACTTAACCCTTTCCAACACCATTGTGAAACACAAGTTTTCTATACACACACAGACATATATATATATATATAAGACATATACATATATATTTTGTATATATGTATACCCACCTGGATCAGAGATTGGTGTGTTGGCTTTCTTGAATTATTTTGGAAGTTGAATTTGAAAAAGTGGAGATGGTTAAGATGAGTAGGGATGGCTAATGGTGTGAATCACTGGCTAAGACCTGTTACCTACACATTTTGTAATGGATGAGTAAATAAATAACAGAAAGTTCAAATTATATATAGGTATAATTAATAAATGGGTGTAAATCACCCCTATACTTACACTTGTCTCATTCATAAATATTAAAAATTACACTAACACACTAAATTATTAAACTCAATCAAACTATAGTGATAAAAAAAATGTACTGTTTGAGTATGAATTGGTTTTTTTTTTTGGTGAGTTCAAAAATGTTATGGGATTATATTAAATTCAATATTCATATCCTGGCATATAAATATAATTCTAATTTAAATGGTTAGATATAGAAGCATGGCCAACATACTTTCAGCCCATGCAGGCTGCAATCTCTGCAACACTAGCTTTTCTTTCGAAGTTTTAAACTAACATCCTGTTCGAGTCATCGACATAACCCAACCATCTCTACCAAATCGATTAAATGTTCGATTTATCGACTTAATCGCCTGCTGCATGATTTACCCAAAGTACATAATCAAAGCCAAGAGAACTTTCATGTATCACATCAGGAAGATAACTTTCCAGCACTTTCGTTCGGGCATCATTGCCAGCATCCATCAATGTTTAACTGAAACTAATAAAGGAGATTGAATATCGAAAAGAACAGGGCAAATTCAACTTCTGCAGATTCAATCCATAACGCATGTGATGCAATGGAATAAATAACTCTAATTGATTGAGTGAATTGCAATTCTATTCATAAAATAATGTGCTTGGCCGTACTCGAAATCAATATTTAAACTTGGAAAGACGAGAAAGAGAAAAAGATAAGAACTCATGGTCCGCGTTTTCCAAAAAAATCTAAATGCAGTTCAAAACTTGGAGGGTCTCTTCTTACTTTAGCAAACAACTCTAACCCATAACCTATTGCACCATGCTACCGCAAAAAACAGGAGCGAGCTCCTCACATTCCGGTAAAAGCTTTCTTCCCGCCACTAGAAGATCCAGCAGGGATCACCTTCAAGACATTGAACCTTACAGTCTTTGACAATGGCCTGAAAATTAAGTGGAGGGACAACCATAATCATATAACTCAATGCCAAGAGCAATATTGCTCATTTTAAAGATAATAAATAATTAACATTCCGCTGAAAACTTACCTGCATTGACCAATAATAACATGATCTCCTTCCTTGACACGGAAGCATGGTGAAATATGCGCTGGAATGTTCGAATGTCTTTTCTCGTACCTACAGAAATAAAAAGAAAATAATTACTTGTATTTTACAATGCATATGAGAAAACAATACAACTACCATTAGAGCTAGGACATGCCTTTGATATTTTTTCACAAAATGAAGGTAGTTTCTTCTAACAGTGATGGTCCTCCCCATCTTGGCACTGTGGCAGGTACCAGCCAAAATACGACCCCTGATTGACACAGTTCCAGTAAAGGGGCATTTCTTATCAATGTAAGTTCCTGAAACAAATACGCAAGTAGGAATTAGACCAATAAGCTATTCAAATTAAGAACTTCAAATTGAGGAAACATATTACCCTCATGAATTAACACTAATCAAGGTTAGAGATAGAACATGCTCAAATTCTACAGAGGAAATGCCATTTAGCAAAAGCATAGTTTCAACCATCAATATCTTCATGTTTATTCAGCTAGGACTTCTAACAATATAATTTAATAACTAAAACGTAACTTACTTATTTCAGTTATTAAAAGCATTATACACAACATTTAAAACAAAGCTCGATTTCATTCCACTCAAACATGAAAAGGTATTACAAGGATACCACCAGACTCTAAGCAATAAGTCAAACAAACCAAGCCCTTAAACAAGCATTGATTGTCCTTCTAGTTTTATCAACATACAAAAACTATTCACTTTCAAAAACAATTTTTAACTTCTCATTTTTTATACAAAAGAACAATCAGTAGTTGATATAATGATATACAACACTTTCACATCTCAAGAAGTTGTATTAAACTTCTATACTTCCAGCAATGCAATTGACAACAGAAATCTATCCCAACATTTCATGGTTCAATGCACCCGCTCTTCCTCTCCATTGTTAATACCTTTTCTCAACACAAGTTCCTGTTAACAAAGCACCAAGGAGGTGCCACCAATATATTAAAGATGGGTGACTTGGAAATCAATAAAAATGCAATGAGGTCCCTCAGATCCTAAGCAGAATAAAGGTTACTCAGACAACAGATGGAGAGTCTTGAACCATATATCCCCAAGTCTACCAAAAGCTCTTTTATTTATTTCCCTCCCGAATAACCCAAAAGGTATGCACGGGGATAGTTAATTTCTTTTTTTCACGAAATACCCAGCCAAACCCTAATCTAATCAGATACTAGCAATGTGCCACCCAGCTCAGTTTGAGGAAGTCAACAGTTGTAGAACAAATACCGTGTCAAAAAAAGGGAACCACAATCAACAGACCCTTTTACAAGGATAAGAACAGTTAACTAAGATCTTCCCTCAACTCCTATGATTTTCAAGAGATCGTTCTGCAGCTTCGTAAGTATAACAATAAAAAAAAAATTTGACTGTAAAGCATAACAATAAATTCTTGGAGAAGGAATATGTTTCAGAATTATTTCAAAGAGAAACACCAGGTCATTGACAAGCAGACACGGTGCAAGTAAACAGACTTCAAATTTTAGAAGCCATTAAGAATTACCTAGATCGCTGAATTCTCAGTGTTAAAACATTCAGGATATTTCTAGAACCAATCTCCTATTCAACTAAAACTTGCATTATATATTATCCGGGGGAACAGATTTCTAATTGATCGAAAAAAAAAACACCGAACGAGTACATCAGCTAAAGTTGAATCGCAAAGCACTCAATAACATACATCTTATTCACAAGAGGAAGATAACAATTACATTAGCCACATAGACGTATAAAATAAATGTACAAACCTTCGATGGCTTCACGGGGAGTCTTGAAACCTAACCCGATGCTCTTCCAGAAGCGGTTCCCACCCTTTCCGGGCCTCTTCCCCTTCCCAGGTTTCTTAGAACTGTGTACACGAATCACAACATAAACAAACAAGAAAAAACACGAGTAATCAATATCGGAAACAGCAAGAACAAAAAACATCCTGATCGAACTTACCTTAGAAACACTTTGGGTTGCTTCAGAAAGGCCTTCTCGGTCTGTAACAACAAAGAAAATGACAAATGAGTCTGCTATGACTAATAAGAGGACCTAAGTAATTGTTAGAGAGAAACTAAGTGAAATTAACCTGCTCAGCCATGGTTGTTAGCTCCCGGGAGAATGCAAGGCGGCACTGGAGCAAAGTCACAGAGGGAGGGAGGGAGAGCTAATCCAAGCAGACGCGGTTGACGACGAGAAAACCCTAAACCTAGTTTCCAGAATATATATAGTAGTATATATGGGCCTATAGTGGACTTCCATGTATTTTAACTTCTTGCTTAATGGATCTCAGACCAGTATGTGTTTTAGGCTTTATTATTTGGGACTTAAAAAATAAATATTTTTTAATAAAAATAAAATATTTAGGTTGCAATTTTTTTCCTGCACAATAATATTTTTTAATTTTATATTATATATTGCAAATAAAAAATATTTGTGAAAATTAAAATTAGAAATAAAAAAATAATAATAACAAACTAAATATTAATCACAACTTTAATTATAATAATTTTTGTTAAAAAATATAATATAATGACATTTCCGAGACCTTTCAACCCTATAAATGTCACGATCTATCTATTTTTTATTCTCGTTGTTTCTCCTCTACGCTTTTTAAAAACTTCGACTATTTCTCTTTTTCCACGTAACCCTAAAAAATAGTTTAAAAAAATAAAATTTACAAATTTTTTCTTCGTATACATCCCGTTCTAAGCCCATAATCAACCCGATTAATCCCTGACAGTATCCTTGGTATAAGTAGTTTGAGTTAACTTAAAAAAGAATACGGTAGGGTTCCGAAACCGAGATTGAAGAAGAGGAGAGGAAGAAAATCAATTTGAAGTTATGCAAAAATGATATGATAAAATTTAGGTGAAGGTAAAACAAATGATACAAAGAAATTGTTCATAACCCTAAAAATGTTACAGCATCCCATTATTTAAATTGGAAGAAGGGTATATATATATATATATATATATATATACTAAGCTTTCCATTGCAGCAAACAACAATGCTATCTTCTATAATAATGGCTTAATATTCACAGTAAGAGCGAAATGCTTGATCATAACCGCTGGCATCATCTTCGAAGTCCTGCTCCTCGAGATAAATCACTCCGTCTGCACGAGAGAAAATATTTACATTCATTATATTATGATTAATGTAGATAATGAAGTCGAGATCCAAGTCATTCCTGATTAAAAGAACAAACTTAAAGCAAAAGCAATTATTACAGTCTATAAACAAATTTTTTTGAGAGTGCAGTGCTTCCTGAATGGTTTATAAACAAAAATTGTATAGTTCAGCAATAGGTGGATCATGAGTAGCTGAAAACCAAGCCAAAAATTAGTGAACTGTCCAAAACCCAAGGGAATTCCAGATTCGTTAATCTTGTTCCAAAATATTTTGAGAGAACCAGACTAGAAAACGCGTTGCGTTTTTTGGTCATGGATTAAGCCATTAGAAGAAGCCTACAGGACCGGAAAATGTTCACGAGCCGCAAATCATCTAAGCAAATTATAATGCGGAAGTGAGCATTACTTTGCAGATACATCTAAGTGCTCTCGAAACAGCCACCTGTTTCCCTTATCAGATATATGGTACAAGTAATGAAGATATATACTCACAGTTCAACTTTCATTCCACATAATTAACCAAAAAAATTCACTCTATTTAATAAACAAAAGTGCTGAGAAACCTAATCTGTTAGCCCTTGTTCAAAAAGTGATTATTTTATTGTTGAAAATTTGATTGACCATGAATATCAAAAAGTCCAGAGAAAAGAAGCGAAAATAAACAGTAAAATACTTATTTCAGAGTAGCACCTTTTGGCGTTTCGGGTTTGGAGGGCCCTCTTCAAAATCGCCATGATGCTGTGATGTCCCAGCGCTGGAATTCTCAGCCTATAAATATATCTTACAACTTAGTATCTTTTCGTCCATGTGCGTAGCATCATAGTCAGCCTAGCCACCATGTTTAAAAGCACTAATGCCATTTGATCATGGGGAGGGAGACTGGAAAATAGTAATACTTAAGGTAACAACGTATCCAAATTTCAGGAAAGCGAAGCATAAAAATACGTTACAAGGTCGTAACAGTAATTCATGCAGTAAGATTATTTGGGTAGCAAAAGGTAGCAAGAAATCTGAATTCATGTCAAGGGAAGGTACGAACACTAAATGAGAGTTATTATTGATGAAGAAAGCTTACTTGGGTGGAAGAGTCTTGAGTCATTCTCTGCTCAGTAGCATTCTGTTGTGTGCCTGAATTTTGTGAAATCAAGGGCATGATCTGCTGAAGTAAATTAGACAGAAATAGCCCCTCATCGGTGACACTTGGTTCCGCTTCTGGAGAAGCATCAGATGTGACTCCATGACCCGAGTCACTTCTAGGAGCTGTTCCATGTATGTTGGGATCCTCTACATGGATCTCTCCACCAGGAAAAAGTGCCCTCAGAAACTGAAAGATGCTGCTTGGAATCTGTCTCTCAGGGTCTTGACTGCTTTGGGTTCCACCAGCTGACACAACGTTAACACTGGCACCTCGAGGATTAGATGGCTCCAGATATGATGAATCTGAATGTGGAAATGCTCCTACAAGAACACAGAACAAAATTTAAAGCTGGAATTATTAGGAACTATATTGCCTTAACTTATATTACCATATCTTGCACGATTTCCACTGATTTGTTGTTGATCTGCAGATTGAGGAACCTGCTGTCCAGGTCGAGCATTGGCAGAAAGATGCTCATTAGATGCTTGAGATCCTCGTTCAGTGCCAATGTGCCCAGAAGCTGCAGGTTGAAATCTTCCGAGGACTGGATAATATAATCCCACAGAATGCCCAGATGATTCCGAAGGGAGTCCACTGAAGGAGGCAGGTACTGCTGCAACCATGGTCCTAAGTGGCACTACCCGCACAGATTCTCCAGTAAAAGATGGATTCTCCAAGACCCCAGGAATTGTTTGTCCACCACGATTTTCACCAGCAGAGGTAATAGATGAGTTTCTTTGCCCTGAAGACAACTGAGTGTCCCCACGTTCCTCTCGGTTAACATTTGATGTTGGCAAACCTGAAGCTAAAAAGATTTTTTACCATGACAAGAGAGAATACACTGCTGTCAAACAATAAATAATAGGCACTGGCATAAACTTCACAAAGTACCCCGCCGTATTTGTATATCAATGCGCCTAGGAAGAAATCCAGAGCCACGGCCATTACTCGAACCAGAGTTAGACTGTACATTACCCATGGGGATGGTACCAAATCCAGCTCCATGTTGAAAAGAAAGAGGCTGAACAAATAATGATTAAGACATCAGAGCCTATATTTTAAAACAAACAAAAGAATTTTGGTAAGATATGAAGAGCATTACCTGAACCATGAGAGGATTTGGACCAGATGGAGATATGAAAACGGCAGGTCCAGCATTAACCACAGCTTCAGACTGCAGAAGAAACAATTCGAGCAACATTTTCACCACAAAGGATGTACAAAAGGCAGATGACATGCATAGGAACTACTATTGTCCTACCGGTGTTTGACCTAATCGCACAGTCATAGTTGCACGACCAAGTTCAAGAAAAAAAGCACCAAGATTATGGATTAGATATCCACTTCTCCATGCATTCGACTGCATGCCCGTTCGCATTGAGGTATCAGTAACAGCTGCTTGATCCTCCAATTGCCGTGCAAGTTGCTGGTCATAGATTAAGTAGCAATATAGGCAGGAGCTCAAAAATATAATGGTTCCAGTAAACAGACTCTAAAATTCTCCAACTTCCCATCTCCCTCCCAAAACCCCATCGCAAAAGGAAATACGAAAGAACAAAGAACAAAAACACCACTTCAAATATGAAATAATCATATTTGGAATGGCAAGGTTCTCCATATATCATGAAACAATAAAATAAATAATTGAAAAAAAAATGAACATAAAAATGGCACTGAAAGACACACAAGTAGGCTTTCTCCAATTTGTTCAATGAGCATTTGCCTAGTAGATAACATCACTTCGGCCAAAGATGCAGGTGTTGGGAGCCCTTCCCGTACAGTTCCTGAATGTGACATTGAATTCGGATTTCTTCCTTCAGTGCCATGCAGCGTAGCTACTTGAGCATTGTTTCCACCTTCTCTAACTGCCCATACAAGTTGCAATTATTAGAGACCTCCGTTAGAGGTGTAATTAACGGGAAAAACATTAACATTGATGCCATTAGACCCACCAATGCCATCAAATTCACGCCTCATTACACCTAGATATTGCAGCAAAGTAGTCAAAGAATCATGAATCACCTAAAAATACAAAAGATAGTCAAACAGCTTATCTTTTAACAACGAAATGTAAATCAATACCACAATATTGATATTAATAAAGAGTGACGGAGCAACAGGCACAACATAAAGCACAAAATAGTTAATGAAGCAGACTGGTGATTCCAAACTCACTGGAGGCTGCAGAGGCCCCAAAGGAGCTGTTGATGGAACTGTAAATGCACTGTGTATTCTATCAGACTGAACCATCATGCTAGCTTGTTCAGCTTGTGGCTGGGTTGAAACCAGCACGCCACTGGCACCAGACGCTCTTTCTCCTCTTTGTGGGCCATGTTCCTTACATTTCCACAACCATCCCCAATATGTAAGTTAAAAAATGAAAGACATTTATGCTTTTCTGTTGGTTAACACAAGCATCGAATTATAAATATGTTGATTTTCAGAAGGATAAAAGATGATCAAAAAATGTAAAGATCTACGGAAACTGCCAACTTCTCCTTCAGTGAACTCATATGGCTCAATGTGGTTTGCCTTTATAAGCTTGTATTTTAGATAATTTTTTTCCAATGGTGTCTTCACAATAATTTGTGCTATGAGCATCCAAGAGTGGAAGAAAGAGATTTTCATCTATTACTAGACAATAAACTACCCTAAAAGCTCAACCATAAAAAATAAATGTTTTGAGTTGTGGAAGTCGAAGTTTAGATTTACCCTGAAATCAAACCCAGTACCACCACTCCCAGTATTTGAGAATCCAAAAGATCCAAGGACAGCAGAAACAATCTGTTCAGGTAGAAAACGGTAAAAAGGAAAGTATTGAAGTTATATTCAAGTTCTAAATTAAAGACCTAAAATATGATTGGATTTACATCTCGATAGTCTTACCCGACTGATTTCTGGTGGAACTCCATCACCTTGATCTGGAAGGTTGAAAGTTTCAATTACAACACTGGGGCTTACCTGGACCCCATGACGAAGGTCTGCACCTGGTGCAGTATCATTTACTGCAAGCAACGGTCTTAGTCGATTGATGGTAAATCCTTAATGGTTCTAGCTAAAACTAATTTCAAGCAATGGTATGCAAAACCATAAATGAATACATCACAAGCTCAGTTAAAGAAAGTAGTCGTATGGAAAACATATTTCAAGAATGCAAAAGAATCCACTATGAAACCCGTATGATGGCAGTAACAACCTTGTCAGTCAAGGCTGTTGTAGATTCTTAATAATGAAAGACATTTTTATGTGCATGTACATTGACAATGTTCGGCTATCCTTGTGAATGTAAATACCACCATATAACTGCAGCTAAAACTGAACCGAAGCAACCATACTTCATAATTGTGACGCACCTAGCGCTTGAAATGGCACAAAGAAATCAAAAAGTTGGAAGAATTCTGTGCCCTTCATTCCTTTAATATCTTCTGGGTTATTTAAGAAAAGAGAAATAAAAAACTTTTGAAGACATCTGCTCTCCTTCTGGTTGGATTAAAAGATCATTGGCTCTACAAAAGCATGTATTTGGTTCAAAGTTATCCTCTCTGCGATAGAGAAGACTTAGGCAAACTGGTTGATAAACTGAAGCTCTTTTGTTCTCCTTTTTGAACATGGTGGTATTCTTTGGTGGGTCCATATGTGTGATATGCATATTCTCAAAAAAAAAAACAATAATTACATATAGGGAAATACTACCTTCTTGTTGGAACTTAGCATTAAAAGCAAAGACGGAGTTAAATTCAGTTGAGATATTCATACATGTCATTCAAGGAGGGTAAACCACACACAAAAGATACTTCAAAAGAACACAAAAGCTTTATATTAAGCAACAAATAAAATGCATCATCAAAAAAATCTGAGCAATTTGACAATGCCACGATTATGGTAGAAAAAAAAATGTTAAGAAATGATAAGAATCTCAAAGGACAAAACCTGAATGACTAGGATGACCATCATATGACAGTGGAACTGGTTGCCTGACTACCAGATGCAATGTATGACCATCCTCGACATCTAACCCATTAAGAAAGTTCTTCCAGATACGAAATGGAAATAATTTGAGGAACGATAAATTCAATGCATTTGGCTAGAGAAAAGGCACATAAGAAGTCTCCAGGTAGACTACGAAAAGGGAAAATTTAATCAGTCCAAACATGTTATTCAAATAAGGCCATTTCTTTAAGGGAAAAAAAGTACATCAATAAACACAAGTAAAGACACAGAACCTTTCATTAATAATTAGGGGGAAAAAAGACAATTTGACTAAACATGTGCTCTGCAAAGAAAGAATTGATATATGTCCTCAGAGCAATAGAGTCAGAAATTTGCACTACCCCAGGGTTGGGAGTTCTATACATCTTAAACTCTTCCTTTTCTCTTTTATGATACTATCATAGCTTGAATTGCTGAAGTAACATGCAAGTGCTTTTGAAAGAGGTTTCCACCATCTTACAGTATCACATAGTTTTAAATGAGACCTATTGCTATCAACTTCTAGATGCATATTTTGAAAAAACTAATCACCTACAGATGCTACTTTGCCATGCTTATTGGCTGCTTATTCCTGTGGTCACAACTGTTTTTACCCCAAATTTCTGATAGTTTTCAATTAATTAATCTCGATAACCCTCACATGAAGGAAAGAAAAAGAAAATTGCAAAAATTTGACT